CATGCCTGGAGGGGTGGCCTGGAAGGAGGCACAGAAATGTCTTTGTGAGGAGCTAAGAAGGGGGTTGATGAGGCTGGCATCATCTGCAGACCAGAGGAGGTGGGCGCAGGGCAATAAGACACAGGAGCACACAAATAGGGAGGTAAACGTTATGAAGGATAAAATTACACACAAAAAATTCGAATTGTTTTTTTCAGGGGGTCATGGTGGCTAGCCAGCTGGATATGAGCTCCCATGAGCTAATGCAAACCTTGGATGTATAACAGGGAATGTAGAGTAGGAGTACAGAGGTTATTTTACCTCTGTATTTGGCACTAGTGAGACTGCGGCTGGAATACTGTGTCCAGTTATGGTGCCCACAATTCAAGAAGGATGCTGATAAACTGGAGAAGGTTCAGAGAGACAAACCCCAAGAATGGTCAAAGGATTAGAAAACATGCCTTATAGTGAGAGACTCAAAGAGCTCAGTCTATTTAGCTTAATGAAGAGAAGGTTATGGGGTGACTTGATTACAGTCTGTAAGCACCTGCATGGAGGAATATTTTGAAATACTTTGAGCTCACCTGTGCAAGGCAGCAAGCCCAGGGATTTCACTTATGGGGTAAGGAGTACTTGTGGCACCTTAGAGACTAACCAATTTATTTGCGCATGAGCTTTCGTGAGCTACAGCTCACTTCATCAGCATCACTACATCTGATGAAGTGAGCTGTAGCTCACGAAAGCTCATGCTCAAATAAATTGGTTTGTCTCTAAGGTGCCACAAGTACTCCTTTTCTTTTTGCGAATACAGACTAACACGGCTGTTCCTCTGAAACTTATGGGGTAGGGAGTAACACAGCGATTGCCAGGTGATTGCCTTTGTAAGCAAGGAGCAGATTAGTCACACTCAATGTGAAATGTTACCAGGGGCACATGGAGGAATTTGAAGAGAGAATTCAAGATGAAAGGTCCCTCCTGGGCTGAGGAGCTCCCTGCCAAGATGCAGCCTGGAGGAGTTTTTATTGCAGAGTTATAATCTTTGAAAGTACGGCTTGGTAATGGGAAACCCTAAACAACCTTAACAGGTTCTCCGATGAAATCCTGTTAGATTATATTGCTCCAGTTAACCATCCTTTCAGCATGCATGCCACATGGGGCGTGTTGTGCTTCTCTGCTGCCTGGTCCCCTCTTCCTCCTCTCTTCTTTCATGGGCTTTTCTTCTCCTTGGTTCCTTTCTTTCCTGGACATGCTGCCCAGCCACGTGGTCCTTTACTTCTTTTGCTTCCCTGGATGCCTTCCTTGTGTAAGCAGCAAGGCTGGCTCCTGCTTGTTCCCATCTGATTTTGTAGTTCTTCTTTGCCTGGCAGCCTGTAAAAGCTGCTGGGAACAAAGATGAGAGCCTGCACCACATGGCCAATCAGCAGTGAATTTATGGGTCACCAGCAGGTGCTTTGTGGACCACAGTTTGCAAACACCTGGTGTACAGCAAAAGGGTGACTCAGCAGCAAGTGGGGTTAGAGTCCTCTCTCTGGGAATGGATCCTGCCCTTCACGGTGATGGGACTTGATGACCTGATAGGTTTTCTGTGTTCCTACACACTGGTACCAGCGTACCCTATCCATGCTGTACCAGCACAGGCATCTGTGGCCTGTGATAGGGAAACAAGGCTTGTATAATCTGTCTGTTTAGGTTTTTATACTGTGCCCACCACTGTGGTAATGCCTTAATTATTTCTCCCTGGCCCATTGTAGGCAGTATAGGCAGAAGTGCTTCCAAGGGAGTTCTGTCCTGTGCTTCTCAGCTATTCCGGGCTGGGAGCAGGCTGTTAAAGAGAGGGAGTAGGGAAATACTGGTGTGGAGTCTCGCAACTCCAGCTGGATTCTGCTAGAGCAGAAAAGGGTGCAAAGCAGAAACACGATGGAGGATTGCACAGTTCCTTCTCTAGCTGCCATTTCCTAGTGTAACCAGTAAGTGGCATGGTTTCTTGGGTTACTCAAATGTTGCAGCCTGAACACCCTTGCCTGGTAAACCCTTCCCGACAGCTATGCACACAGGTGCTTCCTGACATCTATTTGGAACTTGCATTTCTCTTCGCTTACTCTTTGCTGTCCCTCTCTGTGTTGACCGAAAACAGCTACTTGCGGTGGACCCTGTGTAGGGCTCTCAAACTGTAATTCGTGTCTGTCCCATCTTGGCTGTAGAAATGCCAGATTAGTGGCTCTTTGATCGTATGAGCCTGGCTATTAACTCCAACTCTTCTCCATTTGAAGGGGCTAATTCGAAGCACAAGAGCGCTGGGCATATGGCTTAGTCACTGGGTAAACCTGCCACTACCCTTTTGCACCCATCATGCACAAGGAATCTGAAATTAGATTCTGGCCTGACAGTCACAAACAAATGAAAAAGGTACATGGATTAAGAATGATCGGTTAGCTACATAATATTGGCTTGGATATTAATTTTTAATGCACTCAAAAGCTTATTAGAATTTCCCACAATTGACTTATCTTTGATATGATGATTCACTCCTGGGAATATTTTTACACACAAGACTTCAAGTCATAAAAGCACATGGCATTTCACAGCTCTGTTCTCTTCTTATATTCATGTTTAATGGTAATTTGTTGAAATTTACAGACACTTTGGGGATTTAGGTGCTTCTAGTAAGCATGAGTAATCAGCAGCTGTTTAAAAGTTGATGTACAACCTATGCAACTTTATAGACTTGGTGGCAAACTGGACCAGAATATAACCCTGAATCCACCCCTTCCCCAATCTTCATCAGACCACCAGATGTTTCACGATAAATCAGATATGGTCCTAATGACTCTGGAGATAATGACTGCTCTTAAAAATCTGAATAAGGGTGAAGACTCCTATAGTATAGTGTGGTAGCAAGACTCAGGGCTTGTCTATATTAGGGGTAACTACAGGGGTAACTACAGATTCAGTAATTGAATTAAACAACATGGATGTTTTAAGGCTTTTTTAAACCATTTTAAGAGTGCTCATACAAAGAAGCTGAACCAAATTAATCAGTTTCTAAAGCAATTTAGGCCTTGCATATAACTATATTGGCATAGCTAAACTAGCAAAACGATCTAGTGAGGACACAGTATTATTAGTATCAAAGTGCTTATACGGGTTCCCTTGGCATAAATTATATCAGCATATTAGCGTCTAAGGTTAGGTCTACACTACACTTCTGCTGGCATAGCTGTGTCACTCAGGGTTGTGAAGAGATGTTATCCCTGACCAACACAGTCGCGCTGGCAGAAGTCCCTAGTGCAGGCTCTAGTTATGCCAATAAAACTTCCAAGGGTACATGAAGCCTTAGACTGGAGCACAAACTGTGAGAAGATAAGGCCTGAACATTGCTTGAGCACTAGCTCTGAAGGTATCCTGACTTCAGGCAAACACTTACTGCCTTTATAAAAGGATCACTTCAAATCAAATTGGAGAGGCCCTTTGAGCGAAATACAGCCCAGACCTAGTCAACTGGGCCTCACTGAAACGAACCTTCATCTATCCTGTTTTGGTTTTTCATGACTTTACTTCTTTGTCCCACAGTAGAAGGACACTTTTTCTCTTTAGCTTCACAGGGACAGCCTTACCCTCATTTTAGACATTTTGATGAAATTGTACATAAAGTAATTACAACAATGCAGCAACAACCCCCCCCAAACCTTACAAGTTCAGCAAGGTTAAGAGAGTTTGTGTCTGAACCATCCTCATATTTCATTCAAGCTCAGGTGAGCGAGTGATTCCAGCCCTCTCAAGGCTCCTAGCTCATGCTGCCTGTGTCTAAGTCCTACTTTGCTACTTGGAGTTACGGCTATACATTGGCACATACCAAACATTACACCAAGTTTCCCTGATGGACTCTAAATTGAATGTGAAAATGGCAGCTATCGGGGTTATAATGGGAACTCTGCCAAATCTCCCCAGTCCCTTCCATTCCCCCTCTGAGCATACTAATGAAGAGAAGATTAAACAATGCATGAACTGTAATAGAGGAAATTAAAGCATCCCAGCATGGTCTTCTGTCTCCTTTCAAATATATGAGATTAAAAGTGCTATTATCCCTTTTAATGAGACAAATCTTTCAGTGAGTTCCCCCAGCACCATCCACTTCTGTTGTTGCAATGGCCTTCTTCGTGACCATGAGACTCAATCTGATTTATTTCCTCTGCTGCTTTCAAATCACTGCTGTATCTGTTCCTTGGAAATGTTGGGGAAAATACAGTTTGCATTTATCTGAGGCTGAATGGCTCATTTTAAAATAATCGAGCTAATGATACAAGTTCCTGTCTTAATTAATGGCCAGATTCAACCTGTAGTGGCTAATTCTAGGAGCAGCTCCAACAAATTCACTGTAATGAACTATCTTACGGTATCTTTCTATATATGGGTGGAGGCCTTGACAAAATACTTTGTCTTCATTTTCACCGGCAGGAACATATCTTGGATCTAGACACACATTCCTACCACGCTCCTGGAGCATTTGATTCTCTGCCTCTTTTTTCTGCCTTTTCTTCTCTTTACAAGAGTAAGAGGGCTTTACAGCTTTAGCATTAAGATTTATAGATCACATCTTATAATGCTTGAGACAATGTGAACTTTCTAGGACACTTTCTCTCTCTCTCTGAGATGGGTGACTGATGTTAAGTCAAACTAAATAAATACAGAGCACGTAATGAAATATAAAGTCCCATTGGATAATGTTCAATCAATATTGTACATAAACAGTATCTTCTTTTATAAAAAAATCTGTTGGTTTATTCAAAAAGGAGTTAGTTCACAGAAATGAGACCAAAACCAATTGGTTATTATTTATACCCAGCAGAACTGATATCTTTGATAGTTTTAAGCAATCTTTCAAAAATCAAACCAATTACCACAGGTACTATTATGTTTCCCAGCGGGATAAGTCTCCACTCCCCTCTGGCCACTGTGCTGCCTGAGGGAGATTCCAGCTCCAGATTATTTCCACAGAGCTTGAGCCATGATTCCATTCCTACCTGTGCCATCTTCCAAGTGTCCGAAGTTACAGATCTGGCTGATGTTGTGAACCCATAACTGCATTTCCTCCTCCGTTTTGGCCACCAAATAAAAGGAGCGGTAGGTAGTTTTCACGATGAAGACGAAGTTATTCTGAAATTCTTTCTTGATGAAGTTGGGCCCTGAATGCTTCAGCACTTCACACTCATTAAGGTCTATGATCCGAATGGGTTTCTTGGAATGGTTGTTTCTGTAGTACTCCAGAACGTCCGGGTTCCCACTCATGCGGCCCCTGCGGAGCACAAACCAGCGTTTCCGCCATGCCTGCAGGAGACACAATTGGACACATGTCACAGATGGGGAATTTGTTTCCTGCTTTAGCCTTCAAACTGGTTGTCACATTTTGTCAACAGACCTAAATATGCATATTTTCTTTAGATTCTATGCTTATCTTAATCACCAGGCTGAACTGTGACTGGTGATTTGAAATCCATCCCCATAGGGCGCGTCTACTCTAAGAAGAAAGGTGGGTAGTTGTAATGTTAACATGAGTTTGCAGGGCAAGGTAAGCTATAGGCTTCTCCATAGTCTCTACCTCAGTCTAGTACCATGTGTTAAAGCTACAAATGGCCTTGTCTTCACTAGGACTTTAGTGGCCAGGTTAGCTAACATGAAGTAAGAACACATCTTTTATCTTGGTGAAGACAAGGCATGCCTAGGATTTTATCCTGTGTTAGGCCTGGTCTACACTTGAAATTTAGGTCAACATAGCTACAGTATTCAGGGGTGGGGAAAAATCTATGCCCCTGAGGGATGTAACTATGCTGACCTAATCCCCAGTGTAGATGTGGCTAGGTTGACAAAAGAATGGTTCCCTTGAGCTAGCTACCGTCGCTAGGGGAGGTGGTGTTTCTATAGCAACAACAACAACAAAAACCTCCATCACTCTAAGCTGTGTCTGCACTACTGGGTCATGCCAGGATAATTACAGTGCTATAGCTATGCTGCTACAGTCCCCACACTGTAGACATGGCCTTACTTACCATGTGTTAGCTAACACCTGGTAGAAAACACCTCTTCTCCTGGTGAAGACAAGGCCTTAAGATGAACCCAGCATGTTTCCATCAGATGTTTTTTTGCGCTAATAAAGAGCTGTTAATGAGCTGACAGTTACTTATGCAAATTAAGAAGAACAGATCTTGAGGGGGTTGCAGTGCTAAAAAGTTAAACAGATGACTTCAGAAAGCTACAAAATCCTGTATATCACACATAACGGCTTGTTTAACTCTCTCTGCCCAGAACTGTAAATTAATAAATATTTATCTCTTTTTGGCCCAAATGATTAATAGCCTGGATTTCACACAGGGTTAAGTAAAGGCACATATAGATTAAGACACCATATGATTTTATAAAGCTGTATGCAGTATTTGGGGTGGGGGGGGGAGAAAGACATCTGTTTTTTTCCTCCATTTCACCAGCTGTTTCAGTTCACGTACAGTGCTGTGTTGGTTACAGCTGTCACCAATATACTTACTACAAGACCCAGAAGTGACCCCACTCCATATGTCCCATTCCATGGATAAATATTAAATTAAGAAATTAGGAGTTCTTCACCGACTGAATTTTTATAAAGAATGTGATTGGATAAAATCAGGTCACATGATCAAAAATAAAACAATGCTGTTTGTCTTTGATGGCTGGCCGAGAGAAATAGGACATGTCCCCGTGATATGACCAACCTTAGAGCTGTTTCCTACCTCCACAGAACTTCTAGTACACTGTATAATTATTATTACACTGGCCACCTAAGAACATCTGTTACCACTACCCTGCACACTTGGTCAGCTGGAACTTCACAGTGATAGCAGAGACAAAACTAGATTCCTTTGCTCCAAAAGCATTTGAATGAAAGGAGCATCCTCACTGGCTGCAAGCAGTGTAGGAGCTATGACTGTTAGATAAGCAATTCTGATTCCACCCACTAGAGAGCAGTGGGGCACACACACACTTCAGCCAGTTCACTACATCTGCTAAATGGCCATTGGCTTCATAAAATTCAAAAGGGACAGCAAGAAAAACAATTTGAACAACAGAAGAAATGATCTCCTTGCCTGAATCTTACTCAACTCCTGCTTGCAAAATGACTAGTCATCATAACACAAAACTGAGCAGTTGTCTGTCATTTGAGAAATCTTAGTGTGAGTATGATCATACCCGTTTTGTGGTAGGAGGCTATTTTTAAGCTGGCAAACAGGTCCTGCATCTCTCGAGACCAAGCAATTGGTTGCAAAATGTTTTAGCTGCTATGTAAAAATCCTTCTTTATATACCTTAAAAGTCAATACAATTACTACAGTTTTTGCTGATTCTCAAATCCAATGGGTACAACGGCCACTAAAATATGGAGGAAAACCCCCCCATGGACTACATTACTCAAGAAGGAAATGTTACATGACCCCAAATTAGCTGCCTGACAGTGAAGGCTTTGAAGCTGATTTCTGTTATTCTCATATTTTTTTGATGCAAATAAACTGAATGTGAAGGGTCTCCAGTCCTCTTGGTCAGGACACATCAAAGCTTTGGGAGTCTACCATCAGAGATGTACACGGAATAAATACTCCAATAAAATATTCATTGACTTGCTTACTTAAAAGCATGTCCATTCAACCAGCAATACCACGACCTACTTCTAAAGTGCAAGGCTGTCCAAACCAGGGGCAGAGACTAAAGTAATATGTTAAAGAAGGATTTTGCAAGCCTGAACCATCATTTGTCAGCCTATGTGGAAAAGTGGGTTTTGAGAAGGGACTTGAATGAGGCATGGTGGGCCAGGTCAGGAAGGGGGTGTAGGTGTAGGGTGGAGAGCACAAGCATCGGCAATGCAAGCTTCCCCCCCCTTCCTCCCCCCCGGCCCCCTCCCTGCATACTGCCCACTATGGTATACTCTTGATCTTTTGACCTCTAGAAGTCAGAGGGTGATTTGATCTCTTTGCCCATTGGCCCTCCTGTTGCATCTTCCAACCAGGTTATTAGCTAGCATGGTTGTGGTTTTTGAGATGTGGAATCCTGTCCTCTTGAAAATGGACAGGGGCCATCAAGGACCGTTTCTCACAAGGCCTGGAGATTCAATCTCTTTTAAGGACAAATTGTGAAATTTCATACCTTGAAAACATTATTACGCAAATACAAACACTGTAAAGATTTTGGTTAATGATTAGGTCTGTAAAACAGGACAGGTCCTGACAGCATGTCAAGATTTAAACATCTGTTTCTTTGTTTGTGGAGAAACTCAGAGCACCTTCGGGAGAACACCAGCAGTTTCTGAAGTGGTGAGGTGTATATTATACCCACAGAATACATACATCTCTCTCCTAACCAACTTCTGGGCTTCTCCACCTATCACGCACAGTTCCTGAGTTGGGAGTTGATTGGACAGACATGTCACTAGCCTCATTGAAGAAGCACAGTTATATATTTTTTTCCACTCTCTCTTTCAAGCCACGTGCTTTTATGAAAAAAGAATATGGCTATGTAATATTTGCCCTTCTCTCCCAAAGCGCCCGATTAATTGCTTTCAAACGCTGGCACTTAGGATATGCCACCTAGCTGTGGATTTTTATGCAACTTTTTGAAAATACCGTAGAACCTCAGAGTTACAAACACCAGAGTTACAAACTGACTGGTCAACCACACACCTCATTTGGAATTGGAAGTACGCAGTCAGGCAGCAGAGACAGCAACAAAAAAAAGCAAATACAAGAAGAAAGGTGGGTAGCTGTAATTTTAACATGAGTTTGCAGGGCAAGGTAAGCTATAGGCTTCTCCACAGTCTCTACATCGGCCTAGTACCATGTGTTAAAGCTACAAATGGCCTTGTCTTCACTAGGATTTTAGTGGCCAGGTTAGCTAACATGAAGTAAGAACACATCTTTTATCTTACTGAAGACAAGGCATGCCTAGGATTTTATCCTGTGTTAGGCCTGGTCTACACTTGAAATTTAGGTCAACATATTCAGGAGTGGGAAAAAAATCTAAAAAACACTACTGTTTTAAATGTAAACTACTAAAAAAATAAAGGGAAAGTTGAAAAAAAGATTTGACAAGGTAAGGAAACTGTTCGTGCACTTGTTTCATTTAAATTCAGATGGTTGAAAGCAGCATTTTTCTTCTGCATAGTTGTATTAAGTCAATGTTCAATTGTAAACTTTTGACAGAACAACCATAATATTTTGTTCAGCATTACAAACAACCTCCATTCCTGAAGTGTTCATAACGCTGAGGTTCTACTGCAATTACCGTTTATGTGGGGGAATGCCCAGAAGCTTCAGATGTGTCTGATCTCATTAGAGCCAAGGAATTTATGGACAAAACCCAAGAGAATGCTGTTTCACAATTTAAAAAGGGTGACATTTGCTGAATAACCTAGCAGGGAATAGCCCAATACTCAATAAAATATCATGCTTGTATCATTAACAGTCCATCACAAAACAAAATATATAAGGCTTGATTCTTTGATATAATTCTGGCTCTAAATGATCAGCAGATAATGCCTATTGAACTCCCTGCTGGCATAAACCCAGAGGAAGCACTCCTGTGCCAGCTGCTCTGATTCCCCCAGGGTAGCTACTCTAGGCTGTTCTAACCAATGCTGGAGCTGGGCTGGCACAGAATCAGGGAACTGTAAGCAGCTTCCTCCACCCCCTCCATGCTGAGAATCAAGCACACAATCTGAGACATAACATTCCTAAGGAGTTCAAGGTACAGTGCAGGACAGCCCTATGTCTCAGTTTGTTTAGACTTTATGCTTTGCTGAATCTAAAGTCTGTAGGATCTCAATCACAATTCCAGAAGCCAGGCTACAGCACAGTAGCATCAGCTGGAACAGAATTCTGTACAAAGTGTTTCAAATCTGCCATTTCAAAACTTTGGGCCAGATTCTCCGCTATTGTAAAATGATTGTAACTGCATTGGTTTCACTTCCACACCATTGTGGCCATACAACTTGCTTTATTTTTTTTTTTAATTTTTTTTACAAATGTGTGATAAAATTATATTATTCTTAGCTCTATTATAAAGATTGTATGTTAGGAACTGCTGAAGAGGGGTGGACAGTTAAGCATGCAAGACCCAACTTCAATGGAGGTCTGGGTGTGCAAGGAACGCCAGGTAAAGGCTCAGGGTGAAATGCTGAATTATGTAGGGTGACACAAATGAAAGCAGTCACATACTTAGCAGTAATGTAGATTTCAAGCAGAAGACTCAGTTTCTCTCTTCACTGCACAATGTCTCTTAAGACCACAGATGACTCCAAACCTAGTCATATAA